AGAACAGTATGACAGAAGCAACAGAGACCAAGAGGAGGCAAGAGACCCAACCCCAATCCTCCTGGTAAGATTTAAGGCCAAAATTTTTCATTTCAATTTTTTTAACTTTCGTTTTACGTTTTAAATGTTTATCTTTAATCGGAAAATCTCTGCACCAGATCTGAGGCACTGAGTCCCATGAGTAAAATCAAAAGTGGGCCCATCGTGCTATTTCTGGTCACACGTTACTTTAGCAACGCAGGAATAAGTATGAAAAGGCTACTGCTATAGAAACTGCATCTTAAAACAGAACTGGAAGGAAGAAGGGGAACTACACTGACAGGAGAGGGGTGTGGTTCGGCATGGTGCTCTGCCTACAAAAGAATGAAAAATGGGATGGAAAGGACTTTTAAAAGATATCTTTCTGTTGTGGTACGAATGTTTATGTCCCCCTTAAAATTCTTATGTTGAAATCCTAACCCCTGAGATGATGGTATTAGGAGGTGGGGCCTTTGAGAGGTGATAAGGCCATGAAGATAGAGCCCTTACGAATGGGATTAGTGCCCCTTATGAGAGAGACCCCAGAGAGCTCTCAGCCCCTTTCTTCCACTATGTGAGGACACGGTGAGAAAACAGTTGTCTTTGAACCAGGAGATGGGCCCTCACCAAATCTGCTGGCACCTTGATCTTGGACTTTCCAGGCTCCAGAACTGTGAGAAATAAAATTCTGTTGTTTAACCCACCCAGTGTACTTATAGCAACAGACTAAGACACTTACCTAATGAGGGAAGGCAAATAAGCCGCAAAAAAAAAAAAAAAGTTGAAAGTATGTGGAACAGGAGTTGCTTGCTTCAAAAAATGAAGGCTTTTTTAAAAATAAGCAAAGTATGCAGGTGAGACGGAGGGAAAAGTCATCTGCTTCTAACAGAAATACATCAAAGCAATTACCTAATTTACACAAGGTATCACTTAGGCTAATGCTCAGCTGCTTCCTGATGAGTGAGGAGCTGGCCAGAGTGCCTGCATTTTCCTTTATTTTTATCACTGGTTTATAATATTCAATTGCTTGCTTCCTTTGAATCTAGAAACGAGAAATCTAATTAAGGCTTTGCATCCAAGAAGCATGGCATTCATCCATTTATCCAACAAACATTCACGGAATGCTGGCACTGGGGCTGCGGTTCAGAAATGAGGAAGACTAACCCTTGCCCTCTGAGAATTTCCCGGGGTAGGAGGAGAGACTGGAGGGTGAAACGGAGGACCAGCCACCTGTGAAGGACACTGAGTGCAAACCTAGGGGTTTGGGACTTTAATATTGAAGAGTTTTCATTAAGACAGTGATGTGATCCAACCTGCGTTTTAGAAAATTCACCTGGGTGCAAGTGCGGAGGATAAACTGAAGCAGGTGAGGCTATGGGAGGGGAGACCAGTTGGTCCAGAGGAAGAATGATAAGGGTCTGAGCTAATGCAGTGGCCACAGATGTGACCGAAGACCTGCTAAGTCCTGGCGTCACATGGAATGTGGTGGTCCTGGTGCTGGGAGCGCTGGCATCTGCACGTGCAGTAGGATGATGAGGTTAGGAGCTTGAGCTCTGAGGCCAAGCGTGCCTGGTAGTGACGCGGTGGTTAGGCACCACGGCTCTGCAATCAGACTCCCCTGGTGCTAATCCTGGCCTTACCATTTGAAAGCTAGTCAAGCATCCTAATCTCCTAATCTTCGGTTTTCTCGTGTTCAAGATGAGGATGACAGAGCTGTTGTGAGGATTAAATGAGAAAATGTATGGAGTGGGTTTAGCATGGTGACGGATAATAAATACCACGGAAATGTGTCATTAAAGATGGTGTCTGTACTGGGTGAGATGGGAGAAGATGCATTTTGTCAGGGAGAGGGGTGGATGTTTTCAGGCTTGAGAATGTTGACTCTGGGCTGCCCAAAGGTTTTGGATACCCAAACGGAGATGCCCAACAGGCAGATGGCTGCACACGTGTGCAGCTGATGATGGAAGTCTGAGAAGGAGATGGAGACGAGAAGCCATCGCCTTAGGGAATGCTGGCTGAAGCCCTGGGCACGGGCGAGGTCCCGGCACCGCGGCTGATACATGTAGAGTCCAAGAACTGAACCCAAGAGAGCACCACCATCTGGACGAGAGTCGGGAAGAGAAAGAGGAAACCCACGAAAGAAACCGAGAAGGCATCATCAGAGAAGATGGCCATGAGGGTGGGTAGCTCAGAAACCAGGAGAGCGTATCTCAGGAGGGGAGCCATGGATGCTGTCAAAACCTCCAGCAGCAGACGACCAACAAGATCAAAGTGCAAAGAGACACAACGAGGATGTTCCTGATGATGTTCATGGCAGCAGGCGAAACGGAGTTGGGTGGAGGGAGAGGCGAGTAACGTCAGCGGCAAGTGAGGCAATGGAGACACTTGTCTGTGGAGGGGACACGGATGAAAGGACAGCTGCTGATGAATGGATACAAAGTGGAGAGAGCAATGACATTCACTGATTTCACTGAGAACATATCCCCGTTCCTCTTAAGCCAGTTTGCTCATTCTTCTCTGTCCTGGGGGAAGGGGGCGCCAGGGGGAGGGGGGAGTTGGGGGAGGGTTACTTTTAATTTTGTAATTTGACCTCATGAATCCATCCCTACCTATCCCCACTCTCCAAGGCCCCTTAGGACCCTCTGATCATTTCCCTAGTGCATGAGAGCTGTTTTGAGGGCCCCTGGCCACCAAGACAAAGGATCTCCACATGTTTGAGAGGTGAGTTGAGTGGCACAGCGAAAATCTCCCAGTCTTAACCAATGTGGAAGGTGCGGTCACCTAAGGACAACCTTCAGGAAGGATAAAGGCTTCTCGGTCATTTCGGAAGGCTGACGGTTGACAATGAGGTCTGGAAAGAAGACTGCCAAGTACGGTCAGCTCCTCTGACACAGAGGCCATGCACACTGAACGGCGGCAGTGTTAAGTGTCTGATGAGTCACACGCTGCCAGCCCTGGATTCATGGTGGGGCAGCCCAGGCCATAGAGATGACTCAGTCAGTAAGCTACGTGTTTAGATTTCCCTTTTATGAGGCAATGGTTCTACTGTCAAGCTTTTTGCTTCTCTAAAGAAGGTCCTGTTCTCTGCTCACAGTGCTGACCTTAAGAGGAACAAAAGTAGGCTTACGTAGTGTCAAGTGCCTCAAAAATTCCCTGCTGGGGAGCAAAAGAATAATACTAAGAACTCAATTTATCAATTCAGTGCGCCAGGCGTTCTTCCAAGCACTTTACATAGAAGATCTCTCAGTTCTCACCATCATCCTGCAAGGAAAACACTACCACCACTCTCGTTTTACCAATGAGGAAACAAATGAGACACCAACATGCTAAGTATGCGCCCAGGTTCTCACCGTTACCAAGCGGCAGAAACAAAATTTGAATCCAGGCAACAGGACCCCAGAGCCCAACATCTCAGCACTACTATAGAGCACTGGTAACTTTACCCTTAGAAACCCCTTTATTGGGGCTACTCTTTTCAAGGTAAATATTCTTCGAAAGGGTTAACACTGATCTACAGTTCTGCGTTAGAGATGAGTCACATCACATTTTCCTCGGGAGCAAAAGCCAGAAGAGAAGAGGTCACCTCCCTGGTGAGAGGAAAATTCTCTCAAGGATGGTGGAAAGGGAAAAGTGAAAGGCAGGACAGCCAACAGGGCGGGGAGAGGGAGGGGCTACAAAAACAAAACCTCACAACTTTACAATTTCACCTAGAGCGTCCCTGGCCCTTCAGCCAGCTGAACTGGCTGTGCAGGGGTGCAGGCTGGGCCAAAGGAAGGGGGTGGTGGACTCTCTGTGGACTCACAGAGAACTTTCTCTCATACCAACCTATCAAAGGAAGAAGTGGTCGAGCTTGGCAAATCCTAACACAGATTAGATCCGGACGGTAATACCTACAACCCCTCTTTTTTTTGTTTGTCTGTTTTTTGTGGGGTTTTTTTGCGGTACGCGGGCCTCTCACTGCTGTGGCCTCTCCCGTTGCGGAGCACAGGCTCTGGACGCGCAGGCTCAGCGGCCATGGCTCACGGGCCCAGCCGCTCTGCGGCATGTGGGATCTTCCCGGACCGGGTCACGAACCCGTGTCCCCTGCATCGGCAGGCGGACTCTCAACCACTGCGCCACCAGGGAAGCCCTACAACCCCTCTTTTAAACACAGACGCTGACAGTCTCTCCTGACCAAACTCTACTCAGGCTCCTCTGAGCAATTTTCAACTAGGCCCCAAGCTTTGGACTTCGGTGTTCTTCTCTGCATTGTCCAACCAGCGAGAATCCTCACCGGCACCATCCCCCAGGTGACGTCTGATCACCCTGGCCTGCCTTCAGCAAGAATCCTGTTATGTCTGTTTAGCCAGAATCCACCCCCATCCGTACCCCCGACGTTTCCTCTTAGTAACTTTCCATCTACTGACCCCGCATACCCCGCTGCTTTTCCATGTATTTGGAGGTGAGTCCAATCTGTCTCTGCCGCTGCAGAACCCCTTTGCATGGAGAGCCGAGGAAAGCCCCACACGTGGCAAGAGAGTGACAGGTCTTCCCCGGCGAGGAGGGGTGGCAGGAAAGTGGGGTCTGAGGCACTGCAGGCTCTGGCCTAGGTCTTGCAGAAGACAGACCAGTGGGGTGTGGTACCGGAGACACAGTCCACAGAGGCCTGAAGTACAATGCATACATCTTCCTCACAAGGCCCGGGGTGATGCTGGGAGACACTCACAATGGCATTTTCCTCCTTTTTACTTTTCGTCCTGCCAAAACCTCTACACGGTTTGTGGGCTAGGAGCTCCTTTCAAATATATCATGGTCGGTGTCCTGACAAATAGATCAGGGCAGAACTCTCAGGCACAGTGAGTTTCTCTGCACAAGGCTGGAAGCGAAGAAGTGAGATGCCCCGATGAGTGACCCCTGACCTCCCTGTCCCTAGTGGGGTTTTTTGGGGGGACTAGGGGTGGGGAAAGGAGACACACTACTTGAAACATTTCATAAAAACTTACCTTTCACTATGTCTCAGTGGGAAAAACAGTAAATCCGCTAAAAATTCCATAATTTCTCAACTAGGAGGTTTTTCTCACCAAACTCCTCCTGATATTTAAGCCTTCTTGAAATTTCATCTTTGCAAGAGAAGCGTTTCCGGCAGCAGATCTGAAAATAAAATGCATGTGCGTAACTTACTGGGCACAATACATGTTGGCTACCTTCATTGTGCCACCAAAAATAATGCTCATAAACGTCCTTTATTCTATACAGGAGGACACAGAACAGCAGAGCAGTTTATATTAGCAGAGACTTGAGACTTTCAAAGTGATCGATAAGATGTGTGTACATCTTTATAAGAAACTAGGGCGCTACGCTCAACCGCAGCACTATGGACATTTGGGGCCGGATGGTGTGTTGCGAAGGGTCCTGTATAATGTTTGCCATCTCCCCTGGCCTGTACCCACTAGGTGCCAATAACGACACCCACAGTCGTGACAAGCTAACGCGTCTCCAGACATTGCCAAAGGCCCCATAGGGCGCAATCCTGCCCCGGGTTGAGAACCACTTAATCAGAGGATGGAAACGTTACAATTCATCCTTTCTTAACCTAATCAGTTAGTTGGGAAATGGATTAGCGAGGGTGGGTTAAGTATATTAATCATAACCGTAACAGCTAGTACAGAAAATAAAACATTTTCAAGCAAAAACACAGGTTTCCATCAGAACACCTTCAGTGTATTTCATGGTAGCCTGGTCACAGGTGTTGTTGTCCAGTAAGCTGGACATTTCAGTAGCACATTGCAGAATATGATTTTCTTTTAAGTACTCCTTAGATGCTGACTTTGCCAGGTTGTTCAGCACTCTGCCTGCAGGGAATAAATTTTGGCAAAGAAGATGATGCTCAAGGCTTTTTTTCCACAGAAGAGTTAAGATGTCACTAGGCAGGTCATTTAATATCATTTCTTCCTCGCTGCCAACAGCTGGGTTTTTTCTTAATAAATCAATCACTGACCTACATTGCATGGAGTTGGTTTTTCTATAACGAATTTGTGTGTGTGCAGAAGTTATAGGGCTGAGGAGCTGAGGCAATAGACTGAAACCAAATCCAAGTCTGTTTTGCAAATGAACCGGTCAGAAACAGAGTGAGAATACGGATGTAGTGAAACCAGCCATCACCATGGTAACCAAGTCCTAGAGAAGGCAAGCCGGTACAGCCTTGCAATAAGAAACAATAAACTGGTACAGCCTTACAACAAGAAACACGTGAATAAGCCCCATAAGCCTAATTAATAAGTAATGAGCTGTACCTAGATACACGCTGCCTTGGGAATGTACCCTTTGCAAAGGCCTAAAATTTGCTAGTTATTGAAAGTTAGATATTCTACCAATAATAGACTTCTAAAAAGTAGACAGTTTTATGGTTTTCTAAGCCATACTTTCTTACGGAAAGAGATAAAAACCATAATTATATTTCAAGAAGGTGTTACTAGAGCATTGCTAGCAGTAAACAAAGCAGATTTAACTCCCTGTGCCAAGGAATTTAGTATTAAATAAAGGATTACCATTAAATTATCAAAAAGCATCTTTCCCATCATCAATAGTACCCCATTCATTGCCCAGTGCCCACTCCAGGGCCTCAGGCCTTGCATCTGCACACCAGGGAGGGACAGCCATGTACCTGGTCTCCCTATGTCCATTCTCCATACAGCAGCAAACGTGACCTCAAAACAGAAATCAGGCGATGTCATCCCCAGCCTAACTCCTGCAAGGCTTTCCCTCGCACTGATAATAAAATCCAAATGTTTCCTGGGGCCCGAGGCCCTGAAGGATGTGAGCCCAGATGCCTCCTGTCCTTTGTTCACAAAGGCTTCTTTTTTTTTTTTAATTTTCTTATTTAAGTATAGCTGATTTACAATGTTGTGTTAGTTTCTGGTATACAGCAAAGTGATTCAATTATATATATATAGATATATATATATATAGATATATATATAGATATATAAAAACACATGTGTGTACTTTTTCAGATTCCTTTCCATTATATGTTGTTACAAGACAGTGAATATAGTTCCTTGTGCCACACACACAGCAGGTCACAAAGGCCTCTTTTCATTGCTAGGACAAGCCGAGCCCTCTCCCACCTCAGGGCTCTGCACACGATGTTCCCTCTGCCACGAATGCCCCCATCCCCACCACATGCGGCTCCTGCAGTCTGTCACGTCTCAGCTTCAATGTCCCCTCCTGGAGATGCCCCTTGACCACCCTTTCACAGGTGGTCCCTCCCCCTGCTTATGCTCTACCTCCATCTCGTTTGTGTCTCTCACTGCATTTAGTACAGCCTGTAATTACTGCATGTGTCCGCTCCCTTGTGTGTCATGTGTCACCTCTTTTCGGGGGCAGCATTGGTGACTCTGTCCTGTTCAAGCCGCTGGACTCAAAACAGTGTCTGGTGCACAACAGGTGCTCAGTAAAGAGTTTTTGAATGTGTGAGCCCTGGTCAGGCTGGAATCCCCTCCCCTCCCCCTTTCTCTGCTTGCCTAGACCCTGAATCCCCACCTGACCCTCATCAAGAGACCGGAAGTACAGTGCACTCCCATCAAAGCTGCTGCTAGGGCTTCCCTCGTGGCGCAGTGGTTGAGAGTCCGCCTGCCAATGCAGGGGACACGGGTTCGTGCCCCGGTCCGGGAAGATCCCACATGCCGCGGAGCGGTTGGGCCTGTGAGCCATGGCCGCTGGGCTTGCGCGTCCAGAGCCTGTGCTCCGCAACGGGAGAGGCTACAGCAGCGAGAGGCCCGCGTACCGCAAAAAAAAAAAAAAAAAAAAGCTGCTGCTAATGACACTGATCTACCTCTGAGCATCCCTGTTCACCAGGAGCCGGCCCCACCTGCTGTTTTCACCCCCTTGGAGAACCACACTTGTCTATACCAGGCCAAGGTCTGCCAAAATCCTCGGAACTCTGTGCTTTGGACAGCCCGGCTGGCTCTAGAAGGCCAGTCCCAGAACCCACAGAAGTGTCCCTGGTTCCCACACTGGTTTCCTCTGCTCACCAGGGTCCCAGCATGTCCATCACCAGCCCTGCCTACATTAGGATGACTTAGAAGCTAGCCTCTATGTATGGAGGATTAGAGCTTTATAAATGCCAGTGCTAGAAGAGATGCCACATAGCAAGGAGTAATGCGGTCAGGCTTTAGGGTCAGATAGGCCTAGCTTGGACCCCCAGCTCCAGAGGTGCTAGCTGCGGGAGCTGACGTAGTTGATTTCACCTCTCTGACCTTCAGTTTCTTCATCTGTAAAGTGGGGTAACAAAACATACCACGTGAGGTATATTTGAAGGTAAAAGAGCTTGTGAGCATAACGTGCCTTGTACATTGTAAGCATGAAACGAATGATAACTGTTACTATACAAGTGGATTTACAGGTGAAATGCAGAGAGGGTAAGTAGCTTGCCCAAGGTGACCTTTGATCTTACAGTAGCCTGTAAAAACAGCTGTGATTCTCCATGCCAACCTGTACCCAACTCCCCTTTGCAATGCCACTCTGCACCAGAGTCTCTTTCTCTGCCATGGAATAAAGCCTGATGACTTGCTGTGACCAATCGAATGCAGCAGAGGGGGTGTCATGCCAGTTCTGAGCCTAGGCGTAAACCTGTGCTCTCCCTCTCGGAATTGTGCAACCACTGGGTGAGCAGGCCTGGGCTGTCTTCCCGAAGGATGAGGAACACGTGACCCGAACCCTGTCACCCAGCCAGACAACCACCGGACATCTGAGTGAAGTCCTCTGAGACCAGCCAGCCCCACTGGCCCTGCCAGTGGATCACAGATGTTTGCCTGAGCCCAGCCCAGATCTGCTGAGCCTACCCTGGACCAGGGGGATCCCCTTGGTGGCCCATAGACATGGGCAGTAATAGGTGGCTGTTGGTTTTATTTTATTTTATTTTTTATTTTTTTGCATGTGATTGAGTATTTATTCTAAACCAGGTATTCTACATCCATTTTTTTTTTTTGCTCCTTGCAACAATAATATGAGGTGAAAACCATTAGCATTTTAGAGTTAAGGAAACAAACCGAGGTACAGGGAGTGTCATTATGTTGCCATGGGTCATGACCATGCAACTAGTAAGTGGTAGAGACTCAAGTCTCTCTGTCCTAAAGACTGAGCTCTACACACCCATGTCATAGAAAAGTTCCTTCATATTCATATTCATCTGTATAGTGCAGCCTTTGGACTAGATGATCTTTTGCTTATAGTTCAAAAAGAGTAGGACTGTAGCTCAGAAAGAGTATGATTCTTTGTTGGCTGTTGGTTTTAATCTGTTGAGTTTTGGGAGTGCTTTCTTATACAACATAAGATAATTGACACAGCCACTTAAATATGACATAATTCTAGACATTATGTTTAGTCTGAGTGTAAATCAGTGAGTAAAAATGCTTAGTATCTGCATTCACCGAACGTTCTTTGTTCCATTAGTGGTGCCACGGCAGCGTCGGGCATCAAATACTGGAGAACAAAAGAACGAGCTACCATGAAGGAGTACTTAACTATGCGTCAGGCACCATCCTGTGTGCTTTACGGTCTCCCTTGAACGCTTTTAGTCTCACAACGACCATGCAACGCAGGTGCTGTTTTTATTCCTATATTTTTACAAATATGACAACTGTGACCCAGAAAGGCTAAGTCTTGTGTCTAAAAGCAAAGAGCCAAAAAAAAAAAATTAAATTAAAATAATTAATACATAAGTAAATAAATTTTTTAAATAAATAAATAAATAAAAAGCAAAGAACCAGTAAGTGGAGAGGTGGGATTTGTACCCAGAAAGGCTGGCTTCACAGTCAAGCTCTGAGTGGCCCTCTTACTACTCAAAGCGTGTGAGGTACATCACAACAGCCTTCAACATTCTAAAAGGGTGGTCGGTCACAGGAGGAGCGCTCATGCTCAACCCTCACATGCCCAGCAGCCCAACAAAAAGTCAAGCAAGCAAAGCACACACACCCATTCCCCTTCCTTCACAGGTGGGAAGAGCCCGGGAGTCTGACTCTGAACCACAAGAGTTTATGCCCTCTGCACGTGCCCACCCTACCTTTTTGCTTCACTAAGTCCTGGTTGTCTTTTAAGTTGCTGGATGAAAATTCCATCAGGTTGGACCATGCTTCCTGGAAATACCAGAA